AGCATTGTTCTTTGGCTGGTGTCTGCAGTCTCACCTCCAGGTCTGCTTTGCATATTAGCTCAGCCTGGTTGTATTTATTTATTTAGCAAATAAAACTTTGACATTGCTCTTGTAGAAATACACTTTTGCAATGCATTAACAAGACCTTAATATTAGTCAAGAGCATTTTTTGAGTCCCCTTAAATGATCGGTGTAAAAGAAGTAGAAGATGGCAAAGGCACAAAATAAGTGTAACCCTTAGGAGAATTTAGCTGTAACAGAAAGGAAAGGATGAGGATGATCTGGGAGGCACCAGTGACCACTCTTTCACCCGGTACCTTGTGGCTCATAACACGTCATGTATAATGTGTACAAGGCTACCACTTAACTGAATTCAGGTCCAAGTCTGCTGAGACACAAATAATTCACCTTTTTTTTCCATTGGTGGGCACAAAGCAAACCACGCCACAGCACAGTCTGGGGACATGGGACTGTTTTTTGTTTTTTTTTTTTTAAGCAAAAGAGCAGTCCTTGTTTTAATGGTTTCAACAGAGACTCCACAGGTTTTAGCAGGCAGGCAGGAGCAGAGGAGCTGCAGGGACACCTCAGCTCCCCGTGCCGATGTCAGGGCAGCAGCCATGTTGCCCTGAGGTGAGCAGCAGGCCTCGGCCCACACTGCTCACAAGATGGCGGCTCCTGCCCCACCGCCACCTGAGAGCGGCCGGCCTGGTGCAGGCACCTTCGCCTTCCCTGCCAAAGTGCAAAGATGCTAATTCATGGTTGTGTTGCTGGCAGTGCCCCCCTCAGAAACCTCTCTTTGGCCTGTTTTCTTTTTGTCTCTGTTTCCCCATTCAGTAAAAAGCTTCTATCACAACAGCTGCTGATTCATTTTCTGACTTGTTGCCGAGCGTGCCAGACATAACATTCGTTTGCTGCCAAAGTGGTAGAAACAATGACTTGCCAGCTCATTTTTCTTCAGTTGATTATGTTAGGTGGGGGAGGGGAAGGGGGAAAAGCATAATTAAAATTAGATAAGGAGAAGAATAAATCCAGTGAGATGCAGAGAGTAAGGCTCCATACGGCATGAGAGGGAGAGAGCATCTCTGCGGGTGAGGTGACATTCATCACCAGACAAAGCAAAACAGAGGCATCCCTGGGAAGGGTGAGGGCATCCCTGGACATTTGCTGCTGTTCACGACCCTCTTTTTTCTCACTGTGTTTTCTGCTGTTCAGATGACTCCTGAACCAGTAACTTGGATGTGACGTGATATGATGTTTTGCAGATAGAGAGAAGCTGCCTGCAAACAGCTCTGATAGGGGCAGATGATTATCTTCAATCTTCCTCACCTTTATTCTGGAATGAAGGAGTCCCATCCTGGACATCTGTTTGCTTCTTAAAACATCCACTAACAATTTGCCTGGTAGCTAGGCCCTGCATCCACATCCATCCCATGTTTTGGAGGTGCTGGGGACAGCGGTGATCTGACTGAGATTTTGGATTACCTCTTAGTGGAAGGTAGATGTTAGAAACAAAAGAGCCAAGTTTGGACATGATGAACAAAGTCTGACCTGTTAGCATCTTCAACATTTTTCTCAGTATTTGACAGGAAACGAAACTGATCCATATTCTCTGACCTCAGTCATTTGCCATAGGTCATATTTAGAAATAGCTCACCAGGTCACTAACTCTCATGGCAGACATCCAAGTGATGCTTAGATGCCAAGAAAACAACGGCACACGTAGCCTGACCACAGTATTGATCAACAGGTGCTTAGCAGCAAATTAATTCCCTATCAGACTGGTCCTTCTGCAGCCAAGACAGAAGAAACAGTACCCTGGCCCAGCTCTGCTAGCCAGAATGGATGGAAAAACATTTAGCTTGTTTATTTAATTTCTAAAATCCTTCTATTAGGAGCTAGTATGGATAATATAGCACAGTGAAAAGTTTATCACCTACTGGAAGGTGGAAGGCTTTTAGATCCACTGTCTTCAGAAAATGGCCAAAGTAAGCTGCTGTCCTTTTCCAAACAATTCATTACTAGAGGGTGTGTTTCAGCTCTTATTTGGAAGAGGAAAGGGAGTCAATCAAGTCAAGGAAATGCAGAAGAGTCATGGTAAACTGTAGCAAGGTGAGGATCAGCTATGGAAGGATTATCCAAAGCTATTATCAAAGCACTGCTATTGTCACCATGTCTAATGATAAAAGAGGTTTTGTCATTCAGGGCACTAGAAGCTGTTGAAGAGAATTTGAAGGGAGCTGAAGAATAGGCATTCCCAAAGTCTCTGGCTAGCTGTGCAGTGAAGTAGTATGACTTAAATCAAGGGCTCATCAAAGACTACTGATCTAATGTCCAGTAACCAATCCAGACATGTAAAGAGGAAATGCTTCACCTTCATCCTTAGGAAACTCTTGTATTCTTTGCTTTAGAAGGCTATTTGCTCTCCTCACTTGAGGGGAATACAAAGAATGGCTATTTGGTAATGCAAAACATAACATCAAGAAATTGTTCTTGCTCACCAAGGAAAATGAAATGGACACTAGAGAATCTCTTGAGCAGGAATGAAGGATTTTCAAGAATCCCAAATGAGGCATCTAGTTACCTCCAACAAAGTATTGAAAAAGGCTGTCCATCTCCTTGGAATATTTTTGGAAATCCATTTCATTACTTCAACTTCTATTCAGAGCCTGAAGGGAAAGTTTTTCCACCATCCATTCAAAGAACTGTGAAGAAGAGATTTGAGAGAGAGCTCTTGGATTCTCTGCTCTTCTCTATTGTACAAATAAACTATCTTTTCTTAACCCTGTAAAATTTCACAGGGGCTTGTACACACTGTCCCTTGGATGACATTGCTAAATTAATTTGCCCTAGCAAAATATTAGTGTTTTAAGAAAATCTCTAGCTCAACCAACCATGTTACGACAACACCCCCTAAGAAAGATTTATCCCTCCAAATACCTTTTGCTGATTCAGATCCTATGGAGTGCAATACTGTACTACATACGCAATACTCATGCTGTGAATTAACATTTCTGACCATCCAAAGACACCCTGATTTTTTTGGCTTCAGCTGGTCCTATGGTTTTCAGCACTTTTGCACAGTAACCCTAGAAACTAACACATTAAAATGTATTGCTATATAAGGACCTTCATTTCCAGGCTTTTATCTGCAGGAATGATATTGCCATTCTATACCCTAAACCTGTTTTTGTAATACTATGGTTCATCAGAAGTTTTTATGTTAATATCGAAACAGAAATAATACACATGTGATTCATAATAATCTAACTGAATGGCTGCACTGAATGTATTATAAGAAATTCTGGTTAGGAAAAAAACTCATTAAAGAAATAGTGACTACTATTATCCCACTGCATATATTGTTCTATTGGAAAGTTTCCTTGAGTATTTTCTTTAATTAGCAATTTGATGTTTTGAAATAGTGGAATCTCCACCACACACTTTGTAGAAACAGACTTGGCTGGTAACACAGAGGAAAACAAGCAATCTTTTCAGAGTTTGCATCTCTAGGGCATATCTTGTCATTTTCCAGCTATTCAGCTTCTGAATATATGTGTATAACACAGTGACACTGTTCTTGTGGGATTCTGATTTTTAAGTTACATGGATAAATTGCATTTTTTACTGGAAAAGTATATATCGTCCTTTTTTTTTTTTTTTTCCCCCTTCTTCTTTCTTTTGAGAAAATCTTCATAAAAATATTTGCATAACTTTCGGCTGTTCAAATAGAACGTGTTTGACCCCAGCTGTATTCTAGTGAATGAGTCATTTATGTAGGATCTCATTGCACAGAACGTATGGTATTTTATCTTTGCTGGTGTTCTGCCAAATACAGTCTGTAGCAATTTTTCCCCTTTGCCACATTTGCCGCTTGATATCCTTTAAAATATACCAGCTCCAAGAGTGAGAAAGCCAAACAGACTGTGGGCTGCTCCAGATGAGGTCTCTGTGTGCACACAGTCCCGTGCCAGCCCCGAGGCCTTGCTGCTGTTGGTTGGAGAACATCCCTTCCAGATCTGGGATATCCTCATGCCGAATCCTATAAATCCTTTAAATCAACTTCACTTGAGTCTGCAGGGAATTGCCAAAGCCTCGGAGCGTGCAGAGAAACAAATAGGAGCTGCCCCAAAGCAGAGGCACCAACTTCCATTTCTCTCAGACTTCCTCAGCTCTGTTCTTGCAGGGAAAGCCGGGAGGAAGGGAGGACATTTCTGCCATAACTGTAACTCCATTACAGCTAACCTCCAGGTGTCACTTAAGTGGTATTTTGGCAAGATATATTTCTACCCACAATGGCAGGGAACATGATTATTTCATTAAATTATTGAGGCATTGCACAGCCAAACCTGCTATTACACTGGGTTTGATGTGATACGGTAAGTGAGAGGTCAAGCTCTCCCAACACTGATCTCCCGGGGGAGAAGAGATAAGGTGTAACACAATGATTTCCACACTCCCACATGTGCAGATAAGATCTGAATGAGCAGTCTCAAACATAGGCTGCTTTCCTAAACATTTTTTATAGCTTACACTGGAAATCCTCATACCTCTCTCTACATTGATTCACATAATTACGGTTTCCACGAGAAATTCAGAGCAAGATCTCCTCCCACAGAATTTCCTCACACCTGCACTCCTTTCATCACCAGCGATGACTGTTTGTCAGCGGTACCTCTGCTGCTGAGAGAATTCACATACAGCTCAGCTCAGCTGCCAAGACAGGTGAGAATATTCCCCCGCGTGCAAGCTTCTAAAACGCTCTCCCATGACTGAGTGCGGTATGAAGGTCTGCATTAGGAACTGTTTGTTCAGGACGTGCTTCCAGTCCCGGCATCTTCTCTCTGTCAGACAGAGGATTGCTTTTACAACAGCTGCTCCAAAAGTAATGCCTCCTATTTTATTCTGTTGGACCACAACATCACAGGTGGATATTGGTGGGATGGCAGTAGAGACTGAACCTTCCCAAAAATATCCCATTGCATTGGATTGCTGTGCAAGAGATGGCAGCAGAGGGGCAGTCTGACAGGGTGATGCATGACCTGGAAGTGCGCATGGCGCAAAGGTGTGTCACTGAATTCCTGCATGCATTGACATCCATCGATGCTTGCTGAATGCTGATGGAGACCAAACAGTGGATGTGAGCACAGTGAGGGCTGCGTGGTGCATTTCAGCAGTGGCGATGATGAGAGTGGCACATCTCTGCTGGTGCAGATTTGTATGAAGGTGGCATGCAGGCTCCTGTTCATCGCTGGTGAAAATGTACAACTAATGGTGGTGACTATGTTGAAAAACAGTGTTTTGTTGCTGAGAATGTGCTCTATCAAACAGTGTTATTGTGCATTTTGTGTCTGTTGTAGTTTCCATAGGAGGCATTACTTTCTGAGTGATCTACAGTCAACAGACAAGCTCCTCCACTGGGAGGTTGCTTACCACTTTCCCAGGAAATGCTTGTTCTGATGACGAGTGCAGACATGATACTGCCCCACAGATCTCTGTCATCTCAGCTTCTCTTCTCCATCATAGGAGGATCTCTCTCCTTTACTCCCTTCCTCCCATGTAGAGCAGAAACATAATATCACAGCTAAACTGACCCCAGGTACATACTGAGTACGGGCAAGATGCAACTTTAAAAGTCACTGGTTTCAAAAACAGACATTTTTTTTTTTCATCTTTCAAAAACAGACATTTCTGATGCAAAACACTTGCTCTCATCCCTCAGATAAGAAAGCTGGGGTTTATAAGCTGCTCCACATGGCTTTCCCTGAGAGTGACCAAAACATTTACATTGACACGTATGCCTGTGTTATAGGCAGAGTTAAAACATCGCTGTAATTACAGCTGACTATTGTATAACTCTGTTTTTGTTGCTCATAACTTCATCTATAATTAATTGTTTGGGCTGAAAGTTTCCTCAGCTGGATTTGGCCTCAGGCTAAAGCTTTTCATTTCAGCTGAAATGGCTCAAGTCTTTCCCAAGAATATGACTGAGGAAAAAAATTCTTGTTTTCCCGTGCTAAAAGGACTTTTTTGTCATTTACTGAAATCCCCTCCACACTTCTGAAAGCATTAACTTGAAACACTGGCAGACTTGGCTGCTGTGAAATACGTGTCTTCCTATGTTCCCAAGGGAAAAAAAAAGATCAGAATTTGGCTGTTTTCAGCCTCGGACTTCTCTCTCTTTTCATGTATGTTTATATATATATATGTACACATACACACACACATACATATATATGGACCCATATTTGCTGTTAACATGTGCAGCAGCAATGCAGCAGCCGCTGTGATGTCCTTGGTGCTGAGCAAGCTCCATGCCTGATGTGCCAGGCACTCTGTGAAAACATGTGGCACCTGGCAGGGCCTGGGATACTCCTGTGGCAGCAAATGTTCCCTTCCATTGCAGGGCCTGCAGTACCTTGCCAGAAGAGAGCTAGGAGATTGTTTAAGCTGAATTCTCAGCACATATAACCAACCCTTGAACAAAGAGATAAGCTGGCTGGACTTTATTGCAGAGAAAGCAAGGTATGGCAGGAGGTCAGAGGAACGAGATGGTAATAGCCATGCACAGAGAGAATCTAAAGAGAGAGGAAAGTCTTTTAATTTAGGTGAACAAATCCTGCACTTAACTGAACTCTGCTGATCCCTTCCTTGCACTCCTCTATGATGTATGGGGCACTTAGCCCAAGGCTTTCACTAATGCACTTTCAGTTCTGCTGAACATCCTCCTCCCTGCGTAAGGACCTCACGTGGGAAGCTACTTAGAGCTGAAGTCACTGAGAGCTGAGCTTGGAGCTGTGGCATCTGTATGGGAACTGTCAAGCCATGGCCTGATCAAGTCACTGATTGATCACCCGAGCCAAGGACTCAGTCAGCCCTGGCAGCACAGGCGAGGGCAATTCAGATGTGTGTCCATAAAGGGTGGAGCTTGGCTGCAACACTCCTAGACCCCATTTAAGGGCTGACTGGGAAGGATCTCTTTCTGAAGATCCTTCCTTTTGGAGTTTTCTGCTGAAGCCTAGATCTTTGGATACAAGTGAGCATTTCTTCCTTGGTTGTCTCTTTTCCACCATGATAGTCTTTCCAACTATAACACCTGTAAAGTGTCATCTTAACCGTGCTCCTCTTCCATCTGTACATTTGTTGAGTGTACAGCATCTAACACCCTTCTACAGACTCTGGAAAGTGAGGTATCTGTAAGGGCGTGAGCCTCGTGGGCTGTCTCTGTGCCCCACCTCACCTGTGAGGATATGGATGCTGCATGTCACTGAACAGTGGGGCAGTAGCTACTCAAAGGAGCCTGTGATAAGCCTCCTGAGCAAGGACTGAACTGTGCAATGAGGGTGACCCTGGGTGCACACAGAGCAGTGATAGCAAAATATCGAAGAGTTGTCACAAAACAGCTGCTGTCTATTCCCGTTAACCAAAGAGAGAGAGGTGGAGGAAATGAGTTTGTGATCTTTCATTAAAAAGAGCATGTCATGACACAGCTCAAGGGGCCTGAGTGCAACCTGCACAAGCACCTCCACCAGGAGTCTCCTTCCTGGGGAATATCGGAACTGCAGTGTCACAGTGGGCAGAAGATGTTGCTGTGGCCCTGCAGAGCAGGCACACACACAGACACCTACTGTCACACAGGGAGCACATATCTCACTACAGAGCACAGACTTAAGCAACAAAGGAGAGGAAGCCTTGGAAAACCAGAACAAAAGCCCACAAACTACATTCTTAAAACAGATACTGACTCAATGGAGTCCAGAGAAGCCATGAAGAAAAAAAGAAAACTCGGAACTAAACTGCCTGGGAACTAACTTGGAAAGAGAAGTGTGCCCACTCCAACACTGAAATTAAGGCACTTGGTGACAGCTCTCACTGCTCTGCGAGCGTGAGTCACTACAAGTGAAAATGGTGCACAAATGAGCACAGAGGCAACGGAAGTTCTGTGGTACTTACAAGGGGGAAAAAAAGCTCTTCCCTCACAAGTGTAAATATTACACAGAATCCATCCCCTTGCAGCACAGACAGGGCTTTGATGTAGCAAATGCTCCCACCAGGGACAGCGCTGGCTCAGTGGGCAATGGTGACGGCAGGCTCTGCATCTGGAAAGCAGCAGGCTCAGTGCAGAGCTGTCCTAAGGAGTCACAGCAGGCAGAAACCGTCAGGTAGCATGTTATAGTCCTGATGCGACCAGCAGCGAGGGGCCCAGCGCAGGCCAGGCTGCAGTGAGATGCCAAGGAGGGCAGTGCCACAGGGAGCACAGCTCCAACACCTGCATGGCACTGCCAGCCTCCCCTGCCTGGCTGAGCAGCCTCTGTGCTGTCAGCCATGGGGCAGCTTGGACACGTGGGTCCAGGCTGGCAGTGCACAGGGCAGAGGAGGTGGCATTCTGGGGTCCCTCCCTCCCTTGGAGCAGCAATAGCGTGCAGTGTTGTTCTGCAGCCTCTCCCAGGTTGACCCATCAGCTCATGGCACAGCACAAGGCTGAGCTGTCTGAGCAGGTCCTGTTTCTTCACACCCACCTTCCCCTCACCTGTAAAACAGCAGTAACTATATTTACTCTTCTGTACAGTTGGCTCAGGACTGGGAAATGAGAACCCAATTATCACCAGTGCTGCTCCCCAAGGAGCAGCTCATGTCCTGGCTGGGATGGAAACATAACAAGGCCCCAACAACGGGCTCAGCTCCCAGAGCCCCGCTGCAGGAGGTGGCACACATTTTGCCCTATGGTTGAAAGGTCTGAATGAGAGAGAAGCAGCTTCCTGACCACTTATCAACTCACCCACAGTGAATTAGCACAACATTTCGTGCATGGTTTCCAAGTGGGCCGACTGAAGGCACCTTCCTGTCCAGCTGCTGTGCCCCGCTGGCTCTGCAGTGTCACGCACGCTTATGTGCAGCAGGAAAACCATTTCTAAACAATAAAATCGGCTTCCAGGACCTCTCCACTCCCCTTGGTCTCTCCAACAATGTTTGTGGGTTCTCAGTGCATTGTGTCACCCTCAGAGGGTTTTCTTTCCCAGTGCTGTGTGAAAGGCCAGTGCACAGCAGGAGAAAGTAATTAACTGAGAGGCCAGTAATTCCACCATCAAATGAACAAAATGAAAGAGTAACAGAAACTTACACTTAGAGTCACCCCTAAGTGTTTCACATGACAACAGTAAAGAAAACACAGTCCAGACTGATGGTTTAATGTGCATAATATTCCAAAATCTGCAGCACTCACTAACTTCTCAATGGAAATGAAACCTTTGACATCAGAGGGAATACTGTCTGGGCACACAGTGAGTGCACTGCTGTCTGGCAATACAGGGCTGTGCTGATGGGCAGACCCACACCTGCCCAAGCAATGGCACAGTGGGGGTACAGGCACACGTGGGAGCTGATGATGCACAGAGGACAAAACTGAGGTCACGCAGTGCCAGACCCAGATACATCCATGCACACACAGGCATGCTGTGCAGCACAGGGGCTCTCCTCGCTGCCAGCACAGCTCACACCTGCGGTCACCTTGTGCCCGATGTGTCAGACGCTCTGTGGGGTGCAGATGCTCTTCTCGTGTGCATTCCCAGGGCACACATCCTGCTCTCCTGCAAGTCTGTAACCTAAAGTCAGTGAAGTGCTAAAGGCCATGGGGGGCGGGGCGGAGGGGCAGGGGAGGGCGTAGAAAAAGCATTATGATTGCAGCAATAGCGAGAGGAAAATGAAAAGAGTTAAACTAAAGACAGGAAAAAAACTCAAAGCTGTACGAGCATAAAATGCAATCACTTCAAGCATGTGTCAAAACAGTGTCAGATCTTTTTCTATTCATTAAGTCGGCATTTAAACACCCACCAGCTCCTCTTGTTGCTCACCCGGGGCTCAGCTCCTCCCGGCACGGCGTGCCACACGGCTCCATGCGCTCTGCCTGCACGTGGGACAGCGGCAGCGTGGGGAGCAGCTCCCATCGCTGTGGGGCCGGGGCTGGGAGATGGTCCTGTTTTCAGACGATGCATAATAGCAATCCTTGTATGTCCCCCATGAGCTTATAAAATGCAAGGACCACCACAGTTCAGAGTTAGAACCATCACTGCCGTACCAATGCAGGTAACACGGGGTGTGCAGCCAGCACCGGACACCACCTGCAGCACTTGCTGGTTCTTGCTCCCTCGGCCTGCTAGTGGTGTTACAGCACCAGACATGTAAGTGCTTTTCCAGAGGGTTTTGAAGCTGTTACAAAATGTAAAGTAAAATCACTGCCAAGTTGCAAAATGTTATGGCAGGTTTGGGAGAAAAAAATAAAATACAACTGTAAGAATGACCCCAAACTCTTTAGATTCAATATGCTTTGGTTTCCTTCTTTAAAATAACCTCTATTCACTTTATGGAACTTTTCTATTAAAAGTAGGTTGACTAGTAAGCAAGCAAATCCTTCCAGAAAAGAGGTGACACTACAAGATGGAGTGTGTATTAAGCTGAGAGCACAGTGATTTCCTATGGATGTATTTAGATGAAAGTCTGTCCATTGTCTTGAGGTTCTGGCCTCAAAGCCCTTCCCAGGGGATGTGTCCAATTCAGCTATGTTAAAGGTCTCCTTTAGGTTCAGGGGCCAAGCAGACACAGCCTTCCTTCTTCCCAAGTGCCAGCGGTCAGGCTGTGCCAACAGAACCACCTTCCCCACCTTCCAGTGCCCTCTGCACCAACCTGCTGACCTGCCACACCGGTCACCCCCGTCCCACACGAGGGAAGGAACAAGCCAGCACCTCAGCTGCTGACATTCCAGTTCTGCCCAAATGTTGCCACACTTCTTGGCCCAAAGAAGGCTGCATTGTGTCCCATTTTATTATGGCAAGTAATGCTGCATGCTCTCAGCAAGAGGAACCAAGGTTTTGGTGAAAGGTAGTTTGTTTGTCTGAGGCTTTTTTTTTTTCCTCCTTTATAAAATAAAATAAAATCTCACTGTTAGTAACTATGAGCATTCCTTGCCAGTCCTAGTCAGCCAAAAAACACACGGGGTCTTTCTGAAAAAACTCCGTTCTGTGCATGAAGTTATTAACTGCTGGGAAAGGCAGAGAGTTCTTTTGCAGCTGTTTGCCAACCGCTGGACGTCACCTCACACTCTGTCACCCCTCTGTGTTCTGCAGACTGCTGGAGTCTGAGAAAAAGCGGAGAGCTTGGCCAGAGCAGTTACGCTGCTTCTCGAGACATGTTTTCTTTGGGTTCGGCCCCAGGTTCTCAGGCAGCACTGTTAGTCCCTAGTGGAAAATTAAAAAAAAAAAGAAAGAAAGAAAGAAAGAAAGAAAACAGCAGGTTGTGCTGCTTTTCAGGAACCCAGAGAACAAACAGGAGTCTCTACTGCGCTGGCAGATGATGAGAGCTGACCGCAGTGCCGTACTGTTCCTGCACATGAGTCACTGAGGAAGCAAGACCCAGCCTTGCTGCCAGCCTGCAGCCCCATGGCCCGGCCCCACACCCAGCTATGGACAGGCTGCTGGCTGCAGGATGCGTCCTGTGTGCCCAACATGGGGACACATCCATCCAGGCTGGGATCCATTGGTGACACCTGGGTGCATCTGTGCCACAGCTTTGGTGACTCCTAGGAACCTTTCATCAGGCCCACAGGCTGTCCCAGCAGTCCAGTTACCAGCAGGTGCACGCAGACCTGCACTAAGCAGCTGGCTAACATCCCAGGTCAGGCCAGAATTATTTTTCTCTCTTTAATTTATGATTCAACATTTTTATTCTAAAACCATTCTCTCATGCTCAGGGATCAGCAGGTACCTTCCATCAGCACATACCCTGTATCCAGCAGCCCTGGCCAGCCTCAGCACAGAACACCTCATCCCACATCCCCCCAGCTGCCCTGCTCATCCTTTGGACATGGGGCAGAGCCATCCCCAAGCAGGGTCAGCCAGGTGGGCAACTAGAGAATATGTCTGGCAGATGCCCCCAGGAGACTGTTCCAAATAGACACGCTCTCAGAGAATTGCCACCCCAGAATTACTCACACTTCTTTAAGAGTGTGGCTAAAGCATTTGGTTTACGCAGGGTGAAGACATTTGCAGCAGCAATTCCACACAATAGGGAATATTCATAACCACTCTGAGCACCTACTGGAGGTGCCTGGGGCCTCTGTACCATCAGAAGACCCCTTAGGGTGTGACTCAGAGCACTGCAGTTGCCAACTGCCTCTCACCTCTTGGTACAGCTGTAGTCTGTGCATCTCCTGCAGGCAGAGCAGTGACAAAACCAGCCAGCACCAACAGCCCCACACGCCTGCTCTGTAGAGCCAGGCTGCAGTCTGTCAACCCCAAACTAGCAAAAAAAAGAGTTCTATTTCACAGAATCATAGAATTGTTTGAGTTGGAAGGGACCTTTAAAGGCCACCTAATTCAACTTTCCTGCAACGAACAGGGACACCTATGGCTCCATCAGGTGCTCAGAGCCCAGTTCAGCCCTGTGTCTCCAGGAATGGGGCACCACCATCTCTCTGGGTGAGAGGTGGCCTGTGCCAGCACCTCACCACACTTAGTGTAAAAGACTTTTTCCTTATATCCAATCTAAATCTCCCCTCTTTTAGTTCAAAACCATTTCCTCTTGTCCTGTCACAACAGCCCCTGCTCAATAATCTGTCCCCTTCCATCTCACAGCCCCTCTAGATACCGACAGGCCGCTCTCAGCTCTGCCCACAGCCTTCCCTTCTCCATGCTGCACACCCCAGCTCTCAGCCTGTCCTCGCAGGGAGGTGTTCCACTGAGATATTAAAGAGTACCAGACCCAGCACTGACCCCTAAGGGACACTACTCATCACTGATCTCCATCCAGACATTGAGCCATGGGCCAGCACTCTTTGGGTCCAATCTCACAACCAGACCTCTGTCCATCAAACACTCCACCTGCCAAATCCATATCTTTCCAATTTGGAGAAAAAGATGTTATGGGGAACAATGTCAAAGACTTTACTGAAGTCCTGATAGGTGACATCAGTGGCTCTTCCCTTCTCCACTGATGCAGTTACACCACTAGGATGGCCAGGCAGGATCTGACCTTTTTTTTTTTTAAAAAAAAAATATTTTTTTTGTTGCCAGGGTTGGAAGGGACCTCAAGGATCATGAATCTCCAACCCCCCTGCCA